GGCTATGCTGAGAGCTGGAGTGAGTGGCTATGCTGAGAGCTGGAGTGAGTGGCTATGCTGAGAGCTGGAGTGAGTGGCTATGCTGAGAGCTGGAGTGAGTGGCTATGCTGAGAGCTGGAGTGAGTGGCTATGCTGAGAGCTGGAGTGAGTGGCTATGCTGAGAGCTGGAGTGAGTGGCTATGCTGAGAGCTGGAGTGAGTGGCTATGCTGAGAGCTGGAGTGAGTGGCTATGCTGAGAGCTGGAGTGAGTGGCTATGCTGAGAGCTGGAGTGAGTGGCTATGCTGGGAGCTGGAGTGAGTGGCTATGCTGAGAGCTGGAGTGAGTGGCTATGCTGAGAGCTGGAGTGAGTGGCTATGCTGAGAGCTGGAGTGAGTGGCTATGCTGAGAGCTGGAGAGAGTGGCTATGCTGAGAGCTGGAGTGAGTGGCTATGCTGAGAGCTGGAGTGAGTGGCTATGCTGAGAGCTGGAGTGAGTGGCTATGCTGAGGGCTGGTGTGAGTGGCTATGCTGAGAGCTGGAGTGAGTGGCTATGCTGAGGGCTGGAGTGAGTGGCTATGCTGAGAGCTGGAGTGAGTGGCTATGCTGAGAGCTGGAGTGAGTGGCTATGCTGAGAGCTGGAGTGAGTGGCTATGCTGAGAGCTGGAGTGAGTGGCTATGCTGAGAGCTGGAGTGAGTGGCTATGCTGAGGGCTGGAGTGAGTGGCTATGCTGAGAGCTGGAGTGAGTGGCTATGCTGAGGGCTGGAGTGAGTGGCTATGCTGAGAGCTGGAGTGAGTGGCTATGCTGAGGGCTGGTGTGAGTGGCTATGCTGAGAGCTGGAGTGAGTGGCTATGCTGAGAGCTGGAGTGAGTGGCTATGCTGAGGGCTGGAGTGAGTGGCTATGCTGAGAGCTGGAGTGAGTGGCTATGCTGAGGGCTGGAGTGAGTGGCTATGCTGAGAGCTGGAGTGAGTGGCTATGCTGAGGGCTGGTGTGAGTGGCTATGCTGAGGGCTGGTGTGAGTGGCTATGCTGAGGGCTGGTGTGAGTGGCTATGCTGAGGGCTGGTGTGAGTGACTATGCTGAGGGCTGGTGTGAGTGGCTATGCTGAGGGCTGGTGTGAGTGACTACGTTGAGGGTGCCATCCCTTGCCCCATACGCCCATCCGGCCCCTTGTGCTCCCTTGCTCTCTCCCCCTCTGCCACCTCCTCTCCCATGCCCTCCCTTCGCCCCACACCTCTCACCCGCCCCATGCCCCAACATCGCCTGTAACAGTGCAAGAGCAGCGGTCACGAAAGAAAAGAGCAGATAAAGTCTTAAGTAATGTCTTTCGAAGGGACTCAATTCTTGCCGTGCCCTTGCCTCCCCTGCTGTTACCCCTGCACCCAGTACCATGCGACCGGAACGAGTGTGGATCCGATGCCGTGTGTTACAAGAATGCCAAAGGGAGCAACACGTGCGCTTGTAACAGTGGTTACACCATGACTCCCTTGGGCTGCAAGGGTGAGTAATGCTGCAGTGGCTGTGGAAATAGCCGTGGGACTCAGTGCACAGTCACACGGTGCGTCTCACGGCTATCTGCACAGTCAAATGGCTCAGTGCGAGTGGCCCCTTTTGTCGCTTCCACACGGCGCTGCTCAATGCGAGGCTTGGGTGTTTCTGGCTCAGCTGTCCCTGCTTCCTCATTTCATCTTCCCCTCCTTTCACCCTTTGTGAGAGTCATGCTTGCAAACCAACTCTCCTCACTTCCTCCCCATCACTGCCTCCTGTGCCTCTCCTTCCCTTCTCTCCCCTTTCCCCTCAGAGCCATGCACTGTGAACAAATGTGGAGCGAATGCCTTCTGTTACAAGAATGCAGGAAGGAATGAAACATGTGGTTGCAACGATGGATTCACCATGACTTCCAATGGTCGCTGCATCGGTGAGTGTGGCTGGAGTCGCTGCATGGCTGGCTGGTGCTGTGCCTGTGGCACTGTGTGTGTTTTCCTCTCTCCTGCGCTCTCTCCTCCACCCAACAACCCATCCCGATCGCTCATTCTCTTGAAAATCCTCACGCGTTGACCCCGCCCGAGCACCCCAATCCCTTGTTATCTCTCCCCCCGCCCCCCTCTCCAATCTTCCTTCCTTCCAGACTCGTGCATTGTGCAGAACTGTGGAGGCAAGACCACCTGTGTCAAGGGCACAGGTGACCAGGCATGGTGCATTTGCAAGCAGGGCTTCAGAAATGTCTCTGGGGCATGCATCGGTACGTAAAACAACATGCAGGCGGCGTGGCACGCACGTGTGTATCATCATTCAGTTTGGGTTTGTGTCTCCCTCTTCCAGCCTGTCTTAAGCGGAAATTGTGGAACGCGGACGTGCAAGCCTGTGTCGGTGAGTTGATGCACCCTGCTGCCGCCACGCGGCCCACGCCTGCTGCTGCTACTGAATCTGCTGCTACTGCTGCTGCCGTCATTGCTGCTGTTGCTGTCGGCCCCATTGCTGCTGCTGCTGCTGCTGCTGCTCCTGAGGCTGCTGCTGTCTCAATCTATCCTGCAAGTTCTCTCTCCCTGCTGGGATCCGTAAGAGAGACGCAGCCCTAGCCAGGCCTGCTCTAGAACCGTGTTCTCCTGTCTCTCACCCCCCCAATCTTCTGCGCCCGTCTACCCCTGTGCTACGCTCCTCTCTGTGGTGCCTCCACCAGCCACGTGCCGCGATCTGCAAGAAGACCACTGGGTACTACGTTGATGGACTCTGCTTGTGAGGTGCCTCGAAAGCCGCCTCTTAACCCGCAATCTCTATTTTGAAAGATTTTTTCCTCCCTGCCGTGCCTCCACTCCACCAGCCACGTGCCGCGATGTGAAGGACTGCAAAAAGACCACTGGCTACTGCGTTGATGGACTCTGCTTGTGCAAGCCTGGCCTAATCGTGCTCCCCAGTGAAACATGTGCCTGTGAGTGACTATGCTGAGGGGTGCGATCTCATGCCTTATGTCCATGCTCCATAGACAATGATACTCCATGCCCCGTTTCCGGTTCCCATAATCCTATATTCCATGCGCCATGCCCTGTGCTGCATGCACCATTCACGGTTGACTTAAATGCATTCTGAGGCGTGCGCTAGTGGCCGTTGAGTGACACACATAAACCTTCGCTTCTCCCCTTGCCCTTCTTGCTCCTCTCGACCTCCTCGGCTCCCTTGCCCCATGTCGCCCATCCGGCCCCTTGTGCTCCCTTGCTCTCTCCCCTCCTGGGCACCACCTCCTAGGGTTGAGCAAAGGGCCAACACCTCCAACGAAAAGGGGTGTTCGGTGTTCACCAAACAACATTTTTGGCCCGACAACGAACATGTTTGAGGCGAACATGTTCGTGTTAGTTTTGTAGGCTCATTTCGTTTTAGTCCCACAGCATTCCCGTCCCGTGGTGAAATTACACGGATTAACATTGACACTGGTTTCCAGTAAAACTCAAATCGTGGCACCCGTCCCCCCCCCCCCCCCCACACACACACACTTCTGCCATCAGATCTGACGGCGAGATGCCAGGTCCGCGCATATTTGACGGCGAGATGCCAGATTTGCGCAGATCTGATGGAAAAAATGGCCCTTGGCGCCTTCGATCAGAGGACGTTCGCGACGAACACATTTGTGTTCGTCGCTGTTCGAAAACGAACATGAACATGTTCGACCCAAACACTTTTGGCAAAAGAAAGAAAGAAAAAAAATGTTTGGTTCGCCTCGAACATGTTCCCTCGCCCCCCCCACACCTCTCACCCACCCCATGCCCCAACAACGCCTGTGCAGCGAGTACCATGTAAGGGTGAAGAGCAGCAGTGGTGAAGGAAAATAGCGGATAAAGCTGCGACTATTGACTTTTGATTCGATTCAATTCCTGCCTCACATGCGCGCCCTTGCCTCCCCTGCTGTTACCCCCACACCCAGTACCATGCGACCGGAACGAGTGTGGATCCGATGCCGTGTGTTACAAGAATGCCAAAGGGAGCAACACGTGTGCTTGTAACAGTGGTTACACCATGACTCCCTTGGGCTGCAAGGGTGAGTGATGCTGCAGTGGCTGTGCAAATAGCCGTGGGAGTCAGTGCATAGCACAGCCCCTTTTATCGCCTTGAGTGAGAGTCATGCTTGCAAACCAGCTGTCATCACTTCCTCCCCATCACTGCCTCCTGTGCCTCTCCTTCCCTTCTCTCCCCATTCCCCTCAGAGCCATGCACTGTGACTAAATGTGGAGCGAATGCCTTCTGTTACAAGAATGCAGAAAGGAATGACACATGTGGTTGCAACGATGGATTCACCATGACTTCCAATGGTCGCTGCATCGGTGAGTGTGGCTGGAGTCGCTGCATGGCTGGCTGGTGCTGTGCCTGTGGCACTGGTAAGTGCCTGCGTCTCCCTCTCTCCTCTCCTGCGCTCTCTCCTCCACCCAAATACCCATCCCGATCGCTCATTCTCTTTCAAATCCTCACGCGTTGACCCCGAGCTTTCCAATCCCTTGTTATCTCTCTCTCCCCCCCCCTCTCCGATGTTCCTTCCAGACTCGTGCCTTATGCAGAACTGTGGTCCCAACGCCACCTGTGTCAAGGGCACAGGTGACCAGGCATGGTGCATTTGCAAGCAGGGCTTCAGAAATGTGTCTGGGAAATGCATAGGTAACACCAACAGACCGCATGCTGTAGTAGCGCCCCTTCGCGAGTAGAATCGCCCCTTTGTCTTGTCCTTTCATGTTGCATCCATGGTTGTGGTAGTAATATGTTCCTGACTGCTGACCCATTCCCTCATGCGCGGCCGAAGGCCGTTATATCTCTCTCTCTTGCTCTCTCCATTCGCCGGAAATTCTGAAGTGACGAACGAACAACACATTCCTTTCTCCATCTCGGTCTCCAGACATGTTCCTGCTAGCTGCACTGCAGGAGAAAGTTTAGCAAAGGAGAAACCAGTTGTTGTAGTAAAACCTAGCTAGTTCGCAAGTTCTGAAGTGACGACAAATAATGCATTCCTCTCTCCATCTCGCTTTTGTCTCCCTCTTTCAGCCTGTCCTAAGGGGAAATTGTGGAACGTGGACATGCAAGCCTGTGTCTGTGAGTTGATTCACTCTGCTCCTGCCACCCCCGCCTGCTGCCGTCTTTGCCGCTGTTGCTGTCAGCACCATTGCTGTTCCAGCTGTTGCTGCTGCTGTTGTTGCTGTCTCTCCCTGCCGGGATCCATCAAAGAGAAGCAGCCCTAGCCAGGCCTGCTCTAGAACCGTGTTCTCCTGTCTCTCACCCCCCCAATCTTCTGCGCCCGTCTACCCCTGTGCTACGATCCTCTCTGTGGTGCCTCCACTCCACCAGCCACGTGCAAAGATCTGAAGGACTGCAAAAATACCACTGGCCACTGCGTCAATGGAATGTGCTCGTGCAAGCCTGGCCTAGTCATGCTCCCCAATGAGACGTGTGCCTGTGAGTGACTGTGCTGAGCTGAGGGGTGATATCTCATTCCTTTTGAGTCGACTCAAAAATTACCATGCTCCATAGACAATGATACTCCATCCATGCCCCGTTCCCGTGTCCCGTGATCCTACATTCCATGTCCCATGGTCTATTTATGCCTCATGGCCCATTCCCCATGCCCCGTGACGCATGCACCATTCTTCATGAATGAACCTGCCGATTCTTCATCCGCTCTTCCCCTTGCCCTTCTTGCTCCTCTCGTCCTCCTTGGCTGCCTTGCCCCATACGCCAATCCGGCCCCTTGTGCTCCCTTACCCTCTCCCCCCTAGGCACCTCCTCTCCCATGCTCTCCCTTCGCCCCACACCTCTTACCCGCCCCATGTAATGGCGGCGAAGCAAAATAGCGGATAAAGCCGCGACTATTGACTTTTGAGGCGATTCAATTCCTGCCTCACATGCGTGCCCTTGCCTTGCTTGCTGTTACCCCCACACCCAGTACCATGCGACCGGAACGAGTGTGGATCCGATGCCGTGTGTTACAAGAATGCCACAGGGAGCAACACGTGCGCTTGTAACAGTGGTTACACCATGACTCCCTTGGGCTGCAAGGGTGAGTGATGCTGCAGTGGCTGTGCAAATAGCCGTGGGTGGGACTCAATGCAAGTCTTGGGTGTTTCTGGCTCAGCTGACCCAGCTTCCTCATCTCCCTTCCTGCCTTGAGTGAGAGTCATGCTTGCAAACCGGCAGCCCTCAGTGCCTTTCCATTGCTGCTTCCTGTGCCTCTCCCTTCCTTCCCTCCCCACCTCCCCTCAGAGCCATGCGCTGTGAACAAATGTGCAGGGAATAACAGTTCCTCAAGTCCACTTCCCTTCTGTTACAAGAATGGTGCAGGGACCAACACATGTGGTTGCAACGATGGGTACATTTTTATCTTCGATGGTCGCTGCATCGGTGAGTGTTGCTGGAGTCGCTGCATGGCTGGGTGGGTGGTGTGCCCGTGGCACTGGTGCGTCTCCCTCTCTCCTTCGCTCTCTTCTTCCATCTCTCCCCCACCCAACTTCCCATCCCGATCGCTCACACTCTTCAAAGCTCTAGGCCCAAATTGCGGACCGCGCTGGGCAGGTGTAATAATCTTGATGGATTGAAGCTCGGAAACTTGAGAACCTACGCCCTTGCAACTTGGGACTTGGGAAACCAGGTGACTTGCAACTTGATGGAACTTGGGACTTGGGAAACCAAACACAAAGTCCCCCCTTTGAAATTGTAGCGAGGGGTTGGGCGAAAGTGTAACACCCTCGCTCACAACACAACACCCCCGTCAACTTCTGTGAGCACCTTCCCTCAAGCGCCCAACGGTCAACCTTACTAAGGTTGATCCTCCCTCCATCGGTCAACCTTACTAAGGTTGATCCTCCCTCCATCGGTCAACCTTACTAAGGTTGATCCTCCCTCCATCGGTCAACCTTACTAAGGTTGATCCTCCCTCCATCGGTCAACCTTACTAAGGTTGATCCTCCCTCCATCGGTCAACCTTACTAAGGTTGATCCTCCCTCCATCGGTCAACCTTACTAAGGTTGATCCTCCCTCCATCGGTCAACCTTACTAAGGTTGATCCTCCCTCCATCGGTCAACCTTACTAAGGTTGATCCTCCCTCCATCGGTCAACCTTACTAAGGTTGATCCTCCCTCCATCGGTCAACCTTACTAAGGTTGATCCTCCCTCCATCGGTCAACCTTACTAAGGTTGATCCTCCCTCCATCGGTCAACCTTACTAAGGTTGATCCTCCCTCCATCGGTCAACCTTACTAAGGTTGATCCTCCCTCGTTGACCCCGATCCTCCAATTCCCTCATCATCTCTCCCCCCCCTCTCCGATCCTCCGTCCAGACTCGTGCCTTATGCAGAACTGTGGTCCCAACGCCACCTGTGTCAAGGGCACAGGTGACCAGGCATGGTGCATTTGCAAGCAGGGCTACAAAAATGTGTCTGGGAGATGCATCGGTACGTAATTTAACATGCCGGCTGCGTGGCACGCACGTGTGCATCATCATTCGGTTTGGGTTTGTGTCTTCCCTTGTCTGCTAAAAAGGAAGCGCAGCGCAAGGCGGACGTGCTACGCCTTTCTAAAATACATCGCAGGCAGTCTAGCAGTGTAAACACGGGCGTCCTGTGTCTTACCCCTCTCTTTCCTATGTCTTGTAACCTATTCCTCATCCCCCAAGCTCTCCTCGTGTAGTGAGGTGCATTTTGAGGCGCCTTAAATTGTAAACATAGGCTTCCTATGTCTTGTAACCTATTCCTCATCCCCCAAGCCCTCCTTTCTCTTTCTTTCGTATAATTGCCACCCCTCCCGTCAGATGAGTGCGATCTCTGTGGTCCCAATGCTACGTGTGACACGGACCAGCAGAGTGGAGCCAAAACCTGCCGTTGCAACAATGGTTACTACATGCTACCGGATAACACCTGTGCTGGTGCGTCGATGTGGCTCATTCGCTTTGCTCTCTTCCCAATACTCGCTCTCAGACTCACCACCCCTCACTCTCGCTTACCCCTTCCGTCTTGAATGGTCCTGTGTTTGTATGCACAGCATGTATCCCCTTCCTTCGTGTTTGTATGCACAGCATGTATCCCCTTCCTTCGTGTTTGTATGCACAGCATGTATCCCCTTCCTTCGTGTTTGTATGCACAGCATGTATCCCCTTCCTTCGTGTTTGTATGCACAGCATGTATCCCCTTCCTTCGTGTTTGTATGCACAGCATGTATCCCCTTCCTTCGTGTTTGTATGCACAGCATGTATCCCCTTCCTTCGTGTTTGTATGCACAGCATGTATCCCCTTCCTTCGTGTTTGTATGCACAGCATGTATCCCCTTCCTTCGTGTTTGTATGCACAGCATGTATCCCCTTCCTTCGTGTTTGTATGCACAGCATGTATCCCCTTCCTTCGTGTTTGTATGCACAGCATGTATCCCCTTCCTTCGTGTTTGTATGCACAGCATGTATCCCCTTCCTTCGTGTTTGTATGCACAGCATGTATCCCCTTCCTTCGTGTTTGTATGCACAGCATGTATCCCCTTCCTTCGTGTTTGTATGCACAGCATGTATCCCCTTCCTTCGTGTTTGTATGCACAGCATGTATCCCCTTCCTTCGTGTTTGTATGCACAGCATGTATCCCCTTCCTTCGTGTTTGTATGCACAGCATGTATCCCCTTCCTTCGTGTTTGTATGCACAGCATGTATCCCCTTCCTTCGTGTTTGTATGCACAGCATGTATCCCCTTCCTTCGTGTTTGTATGCACAGCATGTATCCCCTTCCTTCGTGTTTGTATGCACAGCATGTATCCCCTTCCTTCGTGTTTGTATGCACAGCATGTATCCCCTTCCTTCGTGTTTGTATGCACAGCATGTACAAACAAGGTCTAATCCCCCTCTCCTCCTCCCTCCCTCCTTTTTCTGCCAGCAACATGCATCATCACGGGCTGTGCCATTGGTTCTAGCTGCGTTGGAAACGCTACTGAAGACATGTATTGCGCCGGTACGTATCATTCTGAGACGTCTCTCAGCGGTTGCATTCGCTCTACTTCACCCTCTTTCTCTTGCCTTCCCTTACTCGCCTTACGCTTTTCCGCTCCATTCCATGCTTGATGTTTTATTCATAAACGCTTGATAAAAAAAAAAAAAATCACAAATGGTGCTCTTAGCTCTATCTCTTTCAAGCCGCACATTTCTGGAGGTGGAGACTACCGTGAGATTGTAGCTTGGAGGTGTTCCGAACTACTTCCCTCTCAAATGGTTCTCACTTGCCTTTCCCCAACTGTTGTTTTTCAATCCTCCCTATCAGATAACTGCAATTTCAAGGGATGCCATGACTCGGCTGTGTGTGCCAAGGACCCTGTATCTGGAACGGCATCCTGCCAGTGCAGCACCGGCTTTACCATGCAATCTGATGGCACTTGCAGAGGTGTGTATTGGTGGTTTCCTTTGCTTTACGTGACGCCTTCTTGGTACTTTCTCCCTCCCTAACCCTCTCCAAGGAATAGATCACAAGTGCTTTTGAGTCGACTCAAAAGCAAGGGATAGATCACAAGTGCTTTTGAATCGACTCAAAAGCAAGGGATAGATCACAAGTGTTGTTTTGAAGCGCCTCAAAGCATGACAAGAAACTCTCAAGAGATCCTGACCAACCTCCTGATAGAAGCATGCGCAATCAAGCATGGTGGCAAAGCTTGTGAGAACTGTCAGCACTGCAAGCAACCTGCGTATGTATGTAGTAGTACTTGAAAGCACTGGCAAAACTTCCTTTTGTGTCGGTACTTAGCAGACCTTTCCGTTCATGTACTACTTAGCATACGTCACAGGAGTGGCTTGCCGTTTGCCATGGGTAGCTGTGGGCATCTTGCATTTCGAGTGTGATGCCCATGCTCATTCCACATTGGCCCTTTACGTGGTTTCCTTCTCTCTATCAATGCCACCAATGGTTCCTCTGTCCCTCCCTCCCTTTCCTCCTCCGTCCACATCAGAGCCATTGCAACACTGGCCTTTAACGTGGGCTCTCTCTATCAATGCCGCCACTGGTGCCTCTGTCCCTCCCTTTCCTCCCCATTCCCCTCAGAGCCATGCACTTTGAACAACTGTGGAGCGAATGCCTTCTGTTACAAGAATGCAGCAGGGAGTGACATGTGTGGCTGCGACGATGGGTACACCAGGACTTCCAATGATGGCTGCATGTGTGAGTGTTGCTGGAGTCGCTGCATGGCTGGTTGGGTGATGTGCGTCTTGTCTCACCTCACCTCACTCGTTCCCTTTGTCCAACTTCCAACCTCTCCCTCCCTCCCTCTCTCCTTCTCTCCTTCCTCCCCTTTTGTGGCCGGTTCGTTAGAAGCTAACGAGTCATGTGTGACGAGTCGCGTTCTAAAGTAGACTCAAAAGCACCCTCAGTGCAGTGTAACGAGTCGCGCAACTCTCGCTATCCGCCCCTAAGCATCTCTCACCATCCCTCCCTCACTGCAGTTCCATGTGACGACTTCGGCAACTGCCCTTTCTATGGCAGTACATGCGGCGAGGTCACTGGAGGCGGCTATATGTGCATGTGTGATTCCGGCTACAGAATGGTTAACGACAGATGCACCCGTATGTCATGGCCTGTATAATTCTGTTTGAGGCTTTTCTCCACTCTCACTTGTCATTCCCACATCGTTTTTCCCTAATCTGACCCTTCTTTGAGTGAGCTAGCTCAACAGCAGACTCATCCATCTTTCCCCGCCTCACCAAGTTTACCCCTAGACCCAAAACCCTCCTCGTCCTCACCTCCCCCTTCTTTTTCGGCCTTCTAACCGTTCCCGCTTGGCCCTTTCTTCCTCTCTCTGTCCCTCTCCCTGCCCCACTATGGATTTAATTCCACTCCTATCAGACGTGTGCCAGTTGACGGCCTGTCCGTCCAGAACTATTTGTGACCTGGACACTAAAGGGGGCGCTGTGTGCGTCTGCAACGATGGCTACGAGAAGCTGCCAAACGGCACTTGCATTGGTGCGTATTGGTGGCTTCTTTCGTCTCATGCAGTCTCTGTCTTGGTAGGTAAAAAGGGCATGTATGTATGTCTCATGCTCTCTCACTCCTCCCCCCCACACTCTCACTCCCCTGACCACGTACCAGAAACGTGCAATCGCAAGAGTTGTGGTAGCTTTCGGGAAGAGTGTGTAGACGTGGAAGGCGGCGACTCCTTCTGCAGATGCTTCAATGGATACAGTGGGAAGCCTGGAGCATGTGTTGGTACGTGGTTTGGGACGTCTCAAAAGTCTTCAATGGATACAGTGGGAAGCCTGGGTCGTGTGTTGGTACGTGGTGGTGTGCTTCTCGGTCTGCATACTGATGCCACTCGCTCCCTCTCCCATTCTCTCTCACGCGGTCCTGCTCACTGGTAGCAAGGTAGGATTAAGCATGGGCATTTGACCCGGACGGGTCGGGTAACCCGACCCGGTCAAAACGCCCTTTAGGGCGGGTCGGGTCAGGAATGCTGAGAAGGCCGACCCGCCCGGGTCGGGTCGGGAAAACCCGGACGGGTCGGGTCGACCCGTGACCCGTCAGTCACTGTGATTTAGTGACGGGTTTTTGCGACCCGCCGGGTCGGGTTGACCCGTCCCGTCTGGGTCGCGTACCCAGTCAAATGACAGGGTTACCCGACCCGTTTTCGGATTAGGGTAGGGGTTGAACATCTCTTGGTTTTTTAGGTTTTTTTTCCCTCGACATTCTGATCTAGTCGCTAGACTAGATCAAGGCTAGTACTTCTGCGCTGCAGCTAGGGAGCATCATACAGTCTTCACTCTTCAATGTTAGCACTATTTAAACTGCATATTATCTTCAGGTTAGGGTTTGGCGCTCCCGCCATTTCGCAGCGTCGCACGACCAGGGGCGCAGCAGCGCGCGTGCAGCCACGCATTGGCGGGATCGCGTCCCCGCAATAGCGCGATCTCGGCCCCGCGTTTGCTCAGCGCGATCACGGCCCCGCATTGGCGCGATCGCCGCCACGCATATGCGCGATCGCGGCACCGCATTAGGACAGGTTCAGCATCGCGATCAGACCTAACCCCCATACCCTGCTGCTATGTAGCATATTTTGATCCGACCCAACCCGACCCGTGGTGTAACCGACCCGGTAACGGGTCACAAATACCCGTTCCCACGGGGCGGATCGGGTCACCAAAACAGAGTCAAACCCGACCCGCTAACCCGACCCGACCCGACCCGTTAAGCTAACGGGTCGCCCTCAACGGGACGGGTCGGGCCGGGTCGGGTCAAATGCCCATGCTTAGGTAGGATGGACCCGCCTGGGCCCTCTGCCATACCTAACTGGCACCGAACACGGGGCCTTGCTCTTGCGGCTATGGTGTTGCAGCCAAGGCCATTGTGCATGGCATCTGTGCGTCCACCTACTTTCCTGCAGTGGTGTTGCAGCCGAGGCCATTGTGCATAGCATCTGTGCGTCCACCTACTTTCCTGCCGTGGTGTTGCAGCCGAGGCCATTGTGTATAGCATCTGTGCGCCCACCTACTTTCCTGCAGCGAAGAAGGTTATTGGCGGGCCATGGGCCAGTCGCTCGGAGAACGAGTGGGGGGTGGTGCTGGAGGTGCAACAAGTCTGGGTGCCTGCACTGCACGGGTGCCTGGGAGAGGAGGATGTGGGCGGATCCCACAAAGGGGTCCCCAAGAGAGACCGAGCCGACTTTTGAGTCGACTCAAAAGTCACCTTGAGGTGCAACAAGTCTGGGTGCCTGCACTGCACGGGTGCCTGGGAGAGGAGGCTGTGGGCGGATCCCACAGAGGGGTGCCCAAGAGGCCAAGCCTGCCGAGCCGATGGCTAGTGAGAGGCTGGGGCGTTGTCCGACCTCTCTCTGTATTTCTCTCTCTCTCTCCCTCCCTTCTTCCAGAAAACTGCGATTACAAGACGTGTGGCGAACGGGAACGATGTGTTCCCCATGAAGACGGTGCCGCCTGTGAATGCATTGCGGGAGCCATCAGGGTCGAGGGTTCTTGTGTCGGTACGTTGTGCTTGTTCCACCCCCGTCCCTACCTACCCCTCCCCTCCAAAACCGCTGGTTCCTGTGGCAGTACATGTTGCTCTGCTCCGCCCCATTAGTGCTCGCATTTGCTCGTGAATCAGTGCTTCTCCTCCCCGTCTTTTCTGTCGCTCACACCTTCACTCTTCCACTCTCCTCCATGTCTAGTATCGTCAGTACTGGCTGGCAGCCAATCTGATTCTGACCGTTGACTCAGTCTCTGAATTCTGTTCTGAAAGGTCCTCACTAGAGTGGTATTGTCACCGAATATGTACGTTTGTGCATATAAGGTGCCAGTATGATTGTGGTGTAGAAAGGGTGTAGTAATGTGTTGTATTTGTTGTATGCAGGCTCAAGGATGGGTAGGTGGGAGGCTGGGAAATTGACGCGAAGTTGGTAGGAGAACACCAGGGGGTGAAATCCTCGCGACCAATGGGAACAAACCCAACCCAGGCTCAAGCCGCACATTGAGAAATGCACGGCTCGAGCCAGGGACAGGTAAGTTCACTCTCACACACACACACAATGCTTTCTGTTTGTTATCCTTTCGTATAGTGGACAGTTGTTACCTCAGATTTGCCTACAGGTGGCACACCACTCAGAGAGGACCTTTGAGGTGAGAGTTACCACTCTTTCGCATCTGTACCGCACGTTGCCCACTTGCAGAGAGATATAGTGAGGCGTGGGGAGAAGGAAAGGGAAGTACAGCCATGGTCACAAGGGTGGAAGTACCAGCACGCTTCTCTGGGGACCAGCGATTGGGGCCCACACTGAAGAATTATCTCATGCAAGTGGGCAACGTGCGGTACAGATGCGAGAGGGGCGGCATGGATGCAGTGGACTTCTTTCTGAGCCTGCCAAACACACTGGAGGGGGAGGCAGAAACGTTATACAGGATGAAAATGAATGAGCTACTGGAGAGGGCAGGAAGGTATGGGGAGGACCCAACCGAAGAATTTCTGAGGCGGCTGAAGCGGCAGTTCCCAGGCCACACTGCAGAGAAGATCAGAGAGTTTCAAGACTTTAGGAAGGGGCGGGGAGAGTCACTACTCACCTACTACAATCGGCTGGTCAACATAGCGGAGGACGTGAGCTGTGCGGACATGGGCCTGCTTGTGAGCAAGTTCCTGGACGGCCTGGAGGGTACCTTGGGAAGCGGGCTGAGGCTGAAAGTATATGAGATGGGGGCTGAAGTGACACTTGATGAAGTGTTTGAGCTAGCTGAGAAGATGGAGATGGCCCAGAGGAAGCTTGAAGCCTACCGGCAACGACCAGCGGAGCGTGGCAGAGGACCTACATGGGCAGCAGCCATGATACCAGAGGAAAAGGAAAGGGCAGGGGGAAGAGGGGATAGCAGGACTGACGCACGAACGTGCCACCGATGCGGGCAGCCAGGGCACCTGCGCAGAGACTGCAAGAACTGCGACTCCTGTGGTAAGCCAGGGCACCGGCGGCGGGAATGCCCAACAGCTCCGAAGTGCGAAATCTGTGGGAAGGGAGGGCATGCAGCAAGGGAGTGTTATCAGCGGGAAGGAGCGGCGAAGAGGACACCAGAGGACCTGGAAAAGCAGATTGGCAGGCTGCAGGCTCAGCTGCAGGCAATGGGACCACGACGCGAGGCAGAAGCGGGGATGTACGCGGGGAAGGAAAAGGAAGAGGATGTAGAGCAAGATGAGGAGGCCGCTTTCATGAGCTGGGCAGGCAAAGCGAAGGATGAGGTGGAACACGAGGAGCAGCCAGCATACATGGCATGGAGAGGAAGGGAGGAGATGGGGCTACGCAGCGGAGGAAAGGATGCACGGAAGGACCAGGTAAGGAAGGAGCGAGAAAGAGGACAGAAACCGGAGGAGAAGGAAGAGAGGTGTACAGCGGCACGGCATCCACAGGAGCGGCTGGCGTGCCAGACTTCAGTGCTGCTGATACAAGGAGGTGCGCTGTCAGTGGAAGGGGAGAAGGCGAAGACGGCTATTATAGACACGGGCGCGCAGAGCGTGATACTAGGGAGGGGAATGGCAGAAAAACTGGGACTGTGGGCGCCGGACAGACATGTAGTGAAGGGAATGCTGGTGATGACAGCAGAGGGAGGAGAGTCAAAGTGGATGCCATGCACAAGGACTCCAATAGAACTGACGGTGCTCAAAGGAGAGAAGCACGAAACACCGGTGAGGATCAGGTGTGGGATCTCAGAATCTGAAGATTTCGACGTTTTGGTGGGCACGGAGATGATCTTTGCACTGGGCATGACCATCTGCTTTTGGAAGGAGACGGTAGAATTCAGAACCAGGTGGTGGAAGAAGGGTGAGCCACTGGGACAGCTGCCGGTGCAGTTCGTCAAGACAGAGCCAAAGCGGGCTTACAGGGCGGATCTGAAGGAGGGGGCAGCGAAGCAGGGGGCACAGGAGACCGCGAGGAACAAGGAACAGGGTGGACAGCCGAGGATGCACTTCATGGACGAGCCCAGCCAACAATCCGATTGGCAGCAACCTATCCGCCTGGTGGAACTCTTCGGGGGCATAGGGGCGGGTTTGGCAGCGGTGGTACGGAACGGGATAGCAGTGAAGCAGTGGATTTACGTAGAGAAGGCGGCAGAAGCAAGAAAAATGGCGGAGCATCATGCATGGCAGCTGCACAGCGAGTTCCCGGAGCTGTTGAAGGAAGAGGTGATCAGGGCAACAATGAGCAGAGGAGTCAACGACGTCAGGGCCATCACAGAAGCTGAGGTGGCAAGCTGGGGGCACGTGGACCTGTTAGTGGCTGGGTGGGAGTGCCAAGGGGTATCATGGGCTGGGAAAGGCAAGGGTGAGCAAGACCTGCGAACACAGCTGATGGAGGACTTGTTCAGAGTGATGGAATGGCTGCAGGCTCAACAAGGCAGGGTGGCGTACCTGCTGGAGCATTTAGACATGGAAGGAGATGTGCGTGAGCCCATACGGCTGGTAAGGGAGCGAGTGACCAGACAGGTGGGAAAAGGGGTAAGCTGCGACGCAACACGGATGGGAGCCTACTCACACAGGCTCAGAATGTATTGGCAAAACGTGGTGCCAGCAGAAGACCTGCAGAGGGAGATAGAGGGGGTGAGAAGAGCAGGGGGGCGGAAGCTGAGCGATATACTCGAGCCTGGGCGAACACCAGCACCAGTAAGCAAGAGGAGCTACAGCCGACATTACCCTTGCAACACAGTGGGGCAAGAGAGGCAAGCACTGCCGACGCTCGTGTCATATGAAGGGGCAGCAGGGTACCAGATGGAGGGGAAGCAGCCAGGCCCAGGACTAGTGCTCGATCATAGGAAGGGAAGATGGGAAGAGCCCACGGCCCTGGAGAGGGAGCTGGCTATGGGGTACAAGGAGAACATCACAGCAGCCCCGGGCGTGACAGAGCAGGAAAGGAGGCGGGCGATGGGGAATGCAATGGATGGATACGTGATGAGGTGGTTGGTGCAGCGGATGTGGAGAGAAACGGTGCTGCACTGGGGACTGAAGGAGGGAGAAAATACAGAGGCAACGGTGAGACAAGGGGTGTGGACCTGCCTGCCAACAGCAGAGCCTGAGTGGAAGATAGGAGAGAGCATGAGCGAGGGAGGGAAGACAGCGATGCTGGCACTACTGGTCAAGCACAGGAAAGGCTTCGCTTTCACCCTGCAGGAGTTGGGGAAGTGCAAGATCAAGGAGATGGCATTGAAGCTGAACAGTGAAGAGCCGGTGTTCCATCGCAGAAGAAAGATGCCACCAGGGGATGAGGCGATCTGCAAGGAGAAAGTACAGGAGTTGCTGGAAGCAGGACTGATCAGAAGGTCAGAGTCAGAGTACGCAACCCCGACCGTGGTGGCAGCCAGGAAGGATTTGACAGGCGAGGTGCTGAGCCGCAGAATGTGCGGTGATTACAGAGATCTTAACAAGATCACCGTGCCGGATAGGTACCCCATGCCAATGGCGGAAGAACTCTTCGACAAGCTGGCCGACGGAGTATACTTCACGACGCTGGACCTGCGCCAGGGATTCAATCAGATAAAAATCAGAGAGGAAGATGTGAAGAAGACAGCCTTCCACGGACCGGACGGGCTGTATGAGTGGTTATACATGCCCTTCGGCCTGCGGAATGCCTCGGCAGTGTTTCAGAGAGTTATGGATGCGGTGCTGCGGGGGATTGAACATGCAGCATGCTACATTGATGATGTGGTCATCTTCAGCCAGACAGAGCAGCAGCACCTTGAGGACGTGGAGCGGACCCTGAGTGCAATAGAGGAGGCAGGGCTCACCTGTCATCCCAACAAGTGCAGGTGGGGGGAGCGGACAGTGCAGTACCTGGGGTATGAAGTGACAGGAGGACAGATCGGGATTCAGCAAGCAAAGGTGCAGGTGCTGGACAGGCTGAGGGAACCCAGGGACAAGACAGGGCTGCGCGCAGTCTTGGGCTTCCTCAGCTACTACAGGCGCTTCGTGCCTAACTTCAGTAAGCGGGCGGCAGTGCTGAACGGGATGCTGCGAGAGGACAAGGTATGGGAGTGGGGAGAACAGCAGAGGGAAGCACTGCAAGACCTCATGACAGCCGTGAAGACAGCAACCGTGCTGCGGCTGCCAGCAGCAGACCAGCCCTTCGTCCTCTACACCGATTGGAGCAGCCAGGGGATGGGGGCAATCCTGTGCCAGGAAGTGGAGGGAGTGGAAAAAGTGGTAGCCTACGCCAGCAGGAGCTGCAACCCCGCAGAGGCGCAGTATAGCTCATACATAGGGGAGGGGCTGGCGGCCGTGTGGGCGGTGGGGCATTTCAGGGTGTACCTGCAGGGCCGCGAGTTCACACTGGTCACTGACCATCAGCCCCTCACTTGGCTGATGACCACACCAGGGCTGACGGGAAGAAACGCAAGGTGGGCAGTGAAGCTGCAAGAATATGATTTCCAGATCAGGCATAGGCCGGGGAAGACGCTGCAGCACGTCGACGGTCTCTCTCGCAACCCACCACCGCTGGAATCAGGACAGAGAACACAGGGGACGGAAGGGACGGAGCTGGAGCCAGCACACACCTTGATCATGCTGGCGAGAGAAGCGGAAGAGGTCGGAGCCAAGGGGAGCAAGGGACCAGCCGACATCTGGCAGGACGAGAAGGCAATGCGGTGGGTGAAAGGAGAAACAGAGGAAGACGAGACAGTGTCAGAAAGAGTGCGGGCACGGGGGCACCACTACAGGTGGTATCAGCGGCAGCTGCAGATCAAGACAGAGGACGGGTGGAAGCTAGTGCCTGCACCCACGGACCGTGAAGCAGTGATCAAGGAGGTGCACACGAAGCTGGGACACTTCGGGCACGAGAGGACTGTACACCTGCTGAAGACAGGCTGGTGGTGGGAAGGGATGCGCAAGCAAGTGAAAGAGTGGGTGGAGGGGTGTGAGGCGTGTCAGAGGAGCAAGGCAAACTTAACGCAGGCCAAAGCAGAACTGCATTCACTGCCGATTTGCGGGTTGGGATTCCGATGGTCCTTGGACCTCGCGGGAGAGCTGCCGCTCAGCAGGAGCGGAAATCGGTACATCGTGTTCATGGTGGAGCATGCGAGCAAGTGGTTGGAGGTGAAAGCCATCCCCAGCAAGAGCGCGAGGCACATAGCAGCAGCCTTCAAGGCGCAGGTGGTGTGTCGCTTTGGAGCGTGCGGGGAGGTACTCACGGATCAGGGGACGGAGTTTCTGGGGGAATTTGAGAAGCTGCTGAAGGAATCCGGCATAGCGCACAGAAAAACCTCCCGCTACCACCCACAAAGCGACGGGCTGACCGAGCGAGCGGTGCAGACCTTCAAGCGGGGGCTGCGGGCCTATGGGGAGCAGAGGAAGAGGGACTGGGATGAGGAGCTGGATTGGATAGCCGCAGGGTACAGGTTCGGGAAGCAGGCAGCACTCAAGGACCACTCCCCGTACAGCCTCCTTTACGGAAGAGAGCCAATCCTGCCAGTGGAGGCACCACGGGTACTGACAGACACGGTGACAGCAGGCACGATCAAGAACTGGGTGGCCCTGTCCGAGGTGAGAGCGCGCTACATGCGCTACATGCTGCCAGCGGCACTGGAGAACCTGCACACTGCACAGCTGAGGGACGCAAGGAGGTACGAACAGAGGCAGCGCAAGGGAGAGGGGCGAGTGGCAAGAGGCGTCTGTGAAGGGCAGGAGGTGTACCTCAAGAGGGCAAAGCAAGACACCCTGGATGTGGGGCTGGGTACGGTCCGCTGGAAGGTCAAGGAGGTGCGCCCTTCAGGGGTGCTGGTCCTGGAGAATGACACGGGGGCGCAAGTGAAGGAGCATCAAACGAACACTGCCGTGATCAGAGGCAGCGGGCCTCAGCGCAACGGTCCTGTGACCCGCGCTCAAGCTGCGCGAGCACGGGCACAGGAGGGGGCAGAGAGTGGCTGAGGCAGCAGAAGGAACGAAGGAGAGGCAGAGCAGGAGAATCAAGGCAGAGAAGAGCATAGCGGTAACTCCGACAGCTGTCACCGAATATGTACGTTTGTGCATATAAGGTGCCAGTATGATTGTGGTGTAGAAAGGGTGTAGTAATGTGTTGTATTTGTTGTATGCAGGCTCAAGGATGGGTAGGTGGGAGGCTGGGAAATTGACGCGAAGTTGGTAGGAGAACACCAGGGGGTGAAATCCTCGCGACCAATGGGAACAAACCCAACCCAGGCTCAAGCCGCACATTGAGAAATGCACGGCTCGAGCCAGGGACAGGTAAGTTCACTCTCACACACACACACAATGCTTTCTGTTTGTTATCCTTTCGTATAGTGGACAGTTGTTACCTCAGATTTGCCTACAGGTGGCACACCACTCAGAGAGGACCTTTGAGGTGAGAGTTACCACTCTTTCTGAGAGTGGCTGAGGCAGCAGAAGGAACGAAGGAGAGGCAGAGCAGGAGAATCAAGGCAGAGAAGAGCATAGCGGTAACTCCGACAGTATGCATCACTAAAAGGTCCTCACTGGAGTGGTATGCATCACTGAAAGGTCCTCACGGGAGTGGTTTGCCGTTTGCATGGTTGGCTGCTGGCATCTTGCCATTTTATTGCTGCACTGTACTATTGCTATGATACCACTGCTATCTATCTGTTCCTGCATCGCCACTCAGCTGTGATATCATTGCAACATTCGCCTTTAACGTGGGCTTTCTCTATCAATGCCACCAATGGTTCCTCTGTCCCTCCCTCCCTTTCCTCCCCCGTCCACCTCAGAGCCATGCACTGTGAACAACTGTGGAGAGAACTCCTTCTGTTACAAGAATGCAGCAGCGGAGAATACGTGTGCTTGTAACGATGGTTACACGATGACTCCCTTGGGCTGCAAGGGTGAGTAATGATGCGGTGACTGTGCATGGCTCAGCTGACCCGGCAAACCGGCAAACCCGAGAGAACTCCTCATCTCCCTTGGTGCCTTGAGTGAGAGTCATGCTTGCAAACCGGCAGCCCTCAGGGCCTCCCCATCACTGCCTCCTGTGCCTCTCCTTCCCTTCTCTCCCCATTCCCCTCAGAGCCATGCACTGTGACTAAATGTGGAGCGAATGCCTTCTGTTACAAGAATGCAGAAAGGAATGAAACATGTGGTTGCAACGATGGATTCACCATGACTTCCAATGGTCGCTGCATCGGTGAGTGTGGCTGGAGTCGCTGCATGGCTGGCTGGTGGTGTGCCTGTGGCACTGGTAAGTGCCTGCGTCTCCCTCTCTCCTTCGCTCTCTCCTTCCATCTCTCCTCCACCCAACTGCATTGATTCTGAGCCCCTCATTCCACCATCATCTCTCCCGCACCTCTTCAATATTCCTTCCAGACTCGTGCCTTATGCAGAACTGTGATCCCATCGCCACCTGTGTCAAGGGCACACGTGACCAGGCATGGTGCGTTTGCAAGCAGGGCTACAAAAATGTGTCTGGGGCATGCATCGGTACATAAAATTACATGCGGCTGCGTGGCACGTGTATCGTCATTCCTTTTGGGCTTGTGTCTTCCCTTGTCTGCTAAAACGAAAGCGCGAGGCGAACGTGCTACGCCTTTTCTAGAGTACATCGCCGGCAGTGTAGCAGTGTGAACATGGACTTCCTACTTCTTGCAACCTATTCCTCATCTCCCTCACCCTCTTTCTCGTTCTCTCTTTTTATTGCCACCCCTTCTGTCAGATGTGTGCGATCTCTGTGGCCCCAATGCTACATGTGAGATGGGCCTTCAAAGTGGAGCCAAAACCTGCCGTTGCAACAATGGTTACTACATGCTACCGAATAACACCTGTGCCGGTGCGTAGTTGTGGCCCCATATTGGGACCCTCATTCGCTTTACCCATCCCCAATACTCGGTCTCGGTCTCACCACCCCTCACCTCGTTTGGCATTGGAGACACCCCTTGCCCTCTCTCTTCTCTTCCCCCTCCCCTCTCAATTCGTCCTGTGTTTGGATGCACAACATGAACAGGCAAGGTCTGGTGAAAGAAAAACCCTCGCTCCCCCCTCTCCCTTCTGCTTTCCCTTTGCCCCCATCCCCCCACCAATCCCTTTCTCTTCCTCCCTCCCCGCTTCCTTCGCCAGCAACATGCATCATCACGGGCTGTGCCATTGGTTCTAGCTGCGTTGGAGACGTTATTGAAGACATGTATTGCGCCGGTACGTATCATTCTGAGAAGTCTCTGAGCGGTTGCAATGCGCTACCTCATCCATTTGCTCGTTCCTCTCCTTGCTCGCCTTTCTTTTTTCCGCTCTGTTCCATTCTTGGTATCATCAATACTGGTAAACCCTCTAGCCTTCTGGCTGTTTTTATTTAGGCACCTCAAAAGGCGTCCATGCTTGGTGGTGTCATCAAATATTGGCAGAACTTCTGGCCTTCTGATTGTTTGTGTGGTAACATTTTCACACAAAGCGTTCTCTGTTTCCCCCAAGCCGTGCATTTCTTGAGAGTACCGTGAGATTGGAGCTTGGAGTTGTTCCCTTCCGAACTACTTCCCTTCCTTCCGACCTTGCAGCTTGAGATGGTACTTGCCTTTCCCCAACTGTTTCTTTCATCCTCCCTGTCAGAGAACTGTTATCTCAAGGGATGCCACGACACGGCCATGTGTGTCAAGGACCCTGCATCTGGAAAGGCATCTTGCCAGTGCAGCACAGGCTTGATCATGCAATCTGACGGCACTTGCCAAGGTGTGTGCTGGTTTTTTCTTTTTGTGTCTACTTGGTGCTTCCTTCCTCCCTATCCCTCTCCTATGAATAGATCACAAGTGTTGTTTTGAAGTGCCTCAAAGCATGTCAAGAAGCTTTCGAGAGATCGTGACCACCTGCCTGGAGGGATGAGCACCGGACGAACATCGTCGCGGCTCGCCCGAACTGTGACGAACACACTCAGTGGGCGAACCGAACATGTTCGGTTCGCCTGAACACTTTTTACTGAAATCTTATGTTCGAGGTTCGCCCACTGTGGGCGAACCTATTAAAGGGGGCCGAACGTCAGAGATGTTCGGGCGAACACGAACATGTTCGGTTGGTTGGGATGTGGGTGTACACCCCAACCAACACAAAGTACAAACTGTCAGAACTTAGGCTGAGACTTGATACATTAGTAGTGAGCTCAACGCTCTTTAAGTGCATAGGAAATGAGCAAGGAGTGGATGGAGAGGGAATCAGGGGCTATCCTAGGGAATCAAGGGTAATCCCAAGGCAATCTCCAATTGGTGGCTTGGAGATTGCTTGGAGATTACATTTGGGTTTGGTTGGAATGTGGGTGTACACCCAACCAAACACAAAGTGCAAACTACACTAACCTAGAATATAAAAGTACAAGTACATGATGTGAGATTGAGGGCTAACATCAACACAAACTACACTAATGTATGATATAAAAAGTGCAAGTACGAAGGTTCAGATAAAGGGCTAACATCAACACCCCCTCATAAACGTCAATCTAAATCAAGGCAGAGAAGCTGGGGCACAGAGCCTCATGGCGTCAAAAAGACGATGGTGAGGAACCCGCCCAAGGGTCGTGAACAGATCAGCCAAGTTGCAGTAAGAAGCGATGTACTACACCATCAGCTGATCAAGCTGAGCTGAACAAGGTCACGAATGAAGAAGTGACGAAGCTCGCGCGATGTGCTTGGTGCGGGTGTAGAACTAACGATCCTGGGAGAGGTGGATGTACTCTGATTGTCACACCAGATGGTGGGTGTCAACTGAGGGTAGCCAAGCACCTGGAGAAGGAAACAGAGCCAACGAGCCTCCTGAGTTGCCATAGTGCCGGCATATAGTTCTGCCTCGCATGATGAGAGGGAGATTGCAGAGGACTTCGTGGAGAGCCAACTAACAACTCCACCACCAAGGGTGAAGTTGTAGCCCTGGGAGGAGCGTCGGTCGGTCCGGTCATCTGCCCAGGAGAGTCATTGTAGCCTTTCAGTCGGGGAGGAGTAAAACCACCAAGTGTGAGGACATGAGACTTGGTGTCTTGCAGATAATGCAAAACCCGCTTCACACTTGTCCAGCGGAGATCGGTAAAGTGTCCAGGAGCCACATACCGAAAGAGAAGACTGACAGGATATGCCAGGTCAGGGCGAGTACACAAAATGGCGTACATGAGGGACCCGACAAGCTCCGGGTATGGCTCGGAGCAGGCCTTGGGTATGGGTGTAGCTGGAGCTGTGAGCCAGTGGCTCATAGCTATGAGCTATGAGCCAGACCTTGAGAAGGCGCTGCAGCGGCAGTGGGGTGGCAATGGGCGTGCAGGAGCCCATCTGAAAGTGCTTGAGGACATTGTCGATGTAAAATTTTCCGAGAGAGCCTGGTGGTCCGAACCTAACGATCGCGTACAATCTCCATCCCCAGGTATTCCTTGAGGTCACCAAGGTCCTTCATCAAGATGGTCTTGCTCAAAGTCGTCTGAACCGAAGTCATCTCAGCGGAGTCCTTGGAGACGATGATGAAATCGTCAATTTAGACCGGCTCAAAGATGTAGAACGCCTCAAAGTGACGGCTCGGAGTGACGGAGTCCCTTCCATCTCCCCATCTCTCCCCTGTTGCTTTTTCTTCCAACCCCCCTCTCCCTCTACTTTCTCTCTGTTCAGTGTGTGGCACCGACAGTGACTGCCCAATGCACGCCTATTGCAGCGGCGGTGTGGAGTGCGTTTGCCAACCCGACTACCCATGGAACGGCACTCATTGCACTGGTATGTGGTGGCACCGTTTCTTTCACACCCCCTCACTTCATTCGTTCTTTGCATGCCAAGTCCGTTGCTCCTTTTATCTATGCCCCTCTGAATTAACACGCTCCTGCCCGTCTTGTTCAAACTGCCTCAATTCTCTTCAAACTTTCCAGACCCCTGCGACGGTGTGAAGTGCCGTCCCAATGCTTACTGCAACTACGGTCAATGCGATTGCAACCCCGACTACTACATGCTATCAAATGGCACTTGCACTGGTGCGTGTCAGGTTGTAGGGGTCATGTAAAACAAAAAAAAGGCATTGAGAGAGCGAGAGAAAGAGTGAGCCTTCAGACCTCTGCACTTGCCTTTGCCCTCAGCCCCTTGCCCCTCGGCATGGGTAAGGGCCCTGTGTTGTTAGGTACTTATTTTCCTTTAATTATGCTGAAGGTTAGTTCACTAGTTTGTTTTATGGTTTGTATGTATTTGCTTACATTATAATAGTGTAGACAATAGGGGTTGGGTTATATTAGTTATAGGGTGCCCCCCTGAGTGACTTTATCAAGTGCTAGGCACCCCAAATTCGGCTTTGGGGCACCCCAGCACGTTTCCCATCCTTGGGGACACGGCTCCAGCCTGGACCCACGAATTTCAACACTGGAAACGCGGCTCCAGCTTGGAATTCGCGTTTTCAATTCGTGGAATCGCGGTTTCACTAGAGGGGGCGCTTCCAGGCCCACTTTGAGGGTCCCTCACGTCCCCATCTTGACTGTGGGCGACTTGAGCACCCATTTGGCCACCCCAAGTCCCTTGGGTACCAAATTCCTCACCTGGACCAGCCCAAGTCGCCTCCAAGCTAGCTCTCTTCACTTTCTGCCTATTTTAGCTTTTGTTTTGCTTGTATTCATCACTTCAGTTAACTTTTGTTTGTAGACCCTTGTCAACATCTCAGAACTAGCTTCTCCTTGTGCACATTGTGCACATAGGTCTGATTTTCTACACCCTGTTTGCCTTCGGAGCTCAAAATTTCAAGGTCATTCCAAACCCTCACTCACTCTCGCACTCTCTCCCATGCTCTCCCCCACACTCTCACCGCCCCTGACCATGTACCAGAATCGTGCATAATCAGGAATTGTGGCTCTAGGGAAGAGTGTATGGATTATGGCGGCGAGAACGGCGAGTCAGTCTGC